CATCAGAAGACGCACCGTTGCGTCTACAGCCAGCGGGGAACTTCGCACTGGAAGCTCATTGCCATGCCGGAGCTCCCCAGCCCCGAGACATTGCCCTGCGAACATGAGAGCAAAAGACATTCGAGTCCACGTAATCGCCACATGGAGGTTTTTCTGGCTGTGGATGACAGGAATTTAAAAAATAAATAAAGCTGCATTTCAGCATTTCTTGAGAGTGTGACGGAGCTTGATTCAGCTGATTCCGCTTCACGCATAGAAACAAAGCTCAGAGCTGACAAGGAGCAGCAAAGGGCGCCCCCACGGAGGAGGAGGAAGAGCGCCCTCAAACTTCGGGAAGGGTCCAGATCCGCAGACAGCCTCCCTGCGGGCAAAGCGCCTTCCCGCACTTCCCATTCGAACCAGAAATGGGCATCGTCAGCCCCCGCTTGAGAAGAAGAAACCGAGGCTCAGAGAAGTGAGATAACTCGAACGAAGCCACACGATTAACGTCAAAAACAGGATTTACACGTAAGACTAAGGAACAAAATCTTAGGGTTTTTTTCCAATTTTACATGAAGGGCATTTACTAGGGCGTAGCATAAATAAGACACATCAATAAATTTGAGTTCCTGTCCTTCCCTTCTGAACCCCAAAGAAATGCTTACGCATCAACATCCGCCGCACGTAACCACGGCAGAGAGAAGTCTGGGGGAGCTGGTAGCACATGGAGCGTTCTAGAAGTATGACCCGTGGTGTATCTTCGGAGGAAAAAGACCTTGTCTTGACAAGAAAAAAGGAAAGCGACAGAGGCTGAAGAATCGTGGCGCGCGGACGCCACATCGATCCCCGTTCTTCATACTTCCTCACGGCGGAAACTCGGGAGAACAGCAACAAACCAAACTATCTGTGCGTGAAAATTAATCTCGAACCAAAACAAAAGCCCACGTACTAGTGAGAACAGAAGCGCACGGCCACCCTCCGGGTCAGAGGGCATCGCAAGTCCGAGGCAGAGGAAACGCAGCTCGGAGAGCACAGCGCTGCCGCCTCCAGACGGGGCTCACGGTCCCAGCGCCACAGCGGCCGCCATCCTGACTCACGAGCATGACAGCTCAGATGCCGGAGGCTGGGCCTCGTCTGGGGCAAGGCGGGGGGCGGGCCACGCGGCGGTCCTTGTCGGCTGCCTCCCTGCCCCCCAGTGCGCCCTGCCTGTGCCGACAACTCTCAGGTCGGGCTTTAGGGAACCTACACATGCCCTCCTCTCAGCCGCGAGGTCTGGGGGGCTGGCTCAGTTCTGAATCCACAACCCCATCGGAGGCAGTGGAAAGCGAGGGGACATTCGTGAAAGAAGCTTGAAAGAAAGAAGCGTCTTCTTTCCCCCACAGGCGTTACGGAAAGCTGCCTGCTCTCTTTTCCGGGACGTCAGGGGATGAGAAGCTGCCGCGGCCACACGGGTGCCAGCTGGGGCCCGAGACTAAGGCCAATGCTGCAGAGGACAGAGCTACGAGGAAGAGAAAGGCCGAGTTCTGATGAGGTCGTCTGAATCCCAGCTTTAGCCCTTCCTGACACCTCCCCCCATCCCCCGGATTCTTCAGGTGGACGGGCCACAAAGGCCCTTTCAGCCGAAGATGGTCTGGGTCGGGTGTGGGTGTTCCAGCTGGACAGGGAAGCCTCATGCACACACCTGTTCACTTGCTCAACACACGTGATTTCCTGGGGGCTACGGAGACGCACTCTTCAAGGAGCTTGTCGAAGAGAAGGACCCCATGTGTCAACACAGATGTGGAATCAAGTTCCCTAAGTACAACAGAAGGAGACATGGCCGACTGTTGGCTAGCTGACCCAGGACCAATTCGTCGCCCCCTCCCATGCCCACATACATGACAGACTGGGAGAGCTCGGCACATCTCAAGCCTATGAGACTGGGGCAGAAGCCCAACATGAATCCGTTGAGAACACTTTTGCTATCCTAATAAACAGAAGATTGGCATCGCTGGCACTGCCACTTCTCCCTTCTTCCTGTCTCAGATGCAGATGTGTTATCTGGAGCTCCAGCAGCCATCTGACAATCATGAGGCAAAGACAATTGCAGAGAGGCCACCTGTTCCTGGCTTCTTAATAAATTTTAGGAAAAATAACCTCTTATTGGCTAGCCACTGCTAGGTTTTCTGCTCTTTGCAGGTGAAATAATTTGTCATTTATACAGAAGGTATAGTCATTTCTATCTGAGTGGCTTTAGGAAAAGGCTTTATGTAGGAGATGATCCTTTAAGTAAATCTTGAAAGATGACTAAGTACCATCAGGCACAGTAAGGGAGGAAAAGGCATCTCAAGCAGAAGATGAAGCCTGAACAAAGGACTAAAACCCCTTTACACATGTGCCTACTCTGACTATTTCTGCAAGGGTTACAAGGATGAGTGGAGTTAATAAGACCAGGGGATCACAATCAAAGTCTGGAGACAGAGAGGACCACAGATGTTGTAAGCCCCGCGAAACAAGGAAATCGGATTGTGCTCTGTAAGCAAGACGGAGCAAAGCAGGCTGCGAGATCCCTGACTTCCGAATCTCCCAAAGGAAGTTCCCTGCACTCTGCAAACGGTGCAAACGCTGCTGTGGACTGTGCTAAAGAGCCCACTGCCGCGTTCCTCCTATCTAACCTCGTGCAGTATTCCCTTCCGGTTCTCAAGGAGACTGAGTCAGAACGACACATGAATGAGTCGCCAGGACAAACAGGGCTTACTTTTCTAGCTAAAAGTCTCCGAAAACATTCATAACGTATCTACACGGAGGACGGGCAGTACATAAAATCAAATTTCTTAAAATAACCCACGACTGCACCAGGTAAAAGACTACCCTGGCCCCAGGACACCGGGCAAGGCTCGTGCGGCTGCTCGGGGGGCAGTGCTCCCACGCGGGACACAAAGCCCCTGACGGCGAAAGAGAGACGCTGCCAAAGGGCCCACGTTCACAGCAGCTGCAGCGGCGCTGGCCTAAGCGGTAGACCGCTACGCCGTCACCCGATCTGTCCTCGCCGATGCTTTAAACAGCCAAGGTATTAAAACGTGAAGGTGACAGTATTGTTTTTTTCAATCAATGCACTATTGAAAAATGCAGGGATAAAAATGTCTCCGGGAAGAAAACCACTCTGCGCCGAGTGCTACGCGCACGCAGGGCACTCTGCGCTTCTGTGGCATCAGTTCCGCAAAACAGCCAACAGCCCCGGGACCGGCAACTTTAAGCCCATTTTAAAGATCAGGAAACTGAGCCTCACGGAGGCCAAGGTCCAAGGTCACACACTGGGGAAGAACAAGCCCCGGGACCTAGGTTTGACCCAGGCTGCCCCTGGGACCCGGCCTGCTTCTCTGCTGGCATCTCCGTGAGGAGAACGTCCACTGTCTTCCTCAGTCCCAGTAACCTGCCAGGACACCGCCACCCCCAGCTCCACTGAACAAAGCCTGGACATCTAGGTGCAGCATTTGAAGCCCAGAAGGTTCTGTGAGGCCCAGGAGGATCTATTAGAGAGCCTATCTAGATTTAAGAACGATCCAGGTCATGACGCAGATAAATTATTAAGAAAGGCTTATCCAGTCTTCAATTTTTTCAAAAATGAATCATGCCCTTAATCCCAAATCAAACACATCGTACTTGAAGCCCTACTCACAGGACGGCCCCACCAGCCCCCGCAGCAGTGACACAGCGACGAGGAGGAGCGTGCACGGGAGGACGCCCGCCCTGCCTCAGGCCTCCCCGCTGAGGCGCTGCACGTCTGCTCCGAGGGGTTTCAGCACCGCCTCAGGCCACAGTCCGTCCGTCTGATGACCTCCTTAGTCCCAGAGTGCCCACCAGGACATCTTATAACCCAAGGCTGGCCTGCCAGCGACATCTGTGCACAGCGACCCTTTCCGCCCCACTGCTCAGGGGCAGATGGCGCTCGCTCGGGTGACAGAACGCCTCGTGCGGTGGCGCTGCCCGGCCTGCGAGGACGCGCAGGGAGAGAGAGCGCAGCTCTCAAGCACTGCCTCGCGCTTGCGCACGCCATGCCACCGGGTTCCCCAACAACCACTGCCATTCTGTTTTGATAAGCAAACTGACACCCAAGGAGATTAAGTGACTTGTTCATGTACCGCACAGCCTTTCCCGCCATGTCACAATGCCCAGTGGGACCTGGGGACGATGGCCAAGCCAGGACTGCCCCAAAGATGCGTAGCACTCCCACTGGGTAGAGCCTAAGGTCACAGCACTTCCGTGGCCAGCAAAATGGCAAGTTTCCACTGTGTTTACAGTCTTCACACAAGTCTTTCAGAAACTCGGAATCATTCCATGAGATTCGGTCATAAAATTTTTAAGTACCCACTCGGCACGTGCCACAGAGCCCCCATCTCTAACACCTTACGATCTGCGAAGAAGGACAGTCCCCTAAACAGGTCGCTCCGGGGCTGTGCGCCTGGCGAGTCCGTGAGAGAGGCGAGCGGCGGGGCCTCTGGGAACCCTGGGGACGCCTGCAGCCCCGGGTCGGTGGCGGGCAGCAGGGGAAGCGCACGGAGCGCTCCCACGTGCAGTGAGTCACAGAACGAGCCTTCAACAGACTGACATCAGGGAGAGGAGAGGAGACATGGACTCGGACAGGGGTGGCATGTCAGCGAAGCCACCAAGGGGCCACACCCACACCGTGGGCGCCTGCACCGTCTGAGAAAAGGGAAGTGTGTAAGCAGGAGAGTGACAAGGCCAGGTCTGTGACTGCAGCAGAGCAGTCACGACACAGGTGGACGTGGGCTTGTATCTGGCTCTGTCATTGAATAGGCACGTGACTATGACAGTTACAATGTCACTGGCCCGACTCTCCCATCTATAATACCCCTGCTCATATGTCACAGGAATGCTGATGAGGTCTGATGAGAAAATGCACCGGATACACAGCCGGTGACAAACAGACACTCCTCTAAAGACATGTACTCACGATCAGACGAGGGGACGATGCTCCAGAGTGACGTGCACCCTTCACGCTCCGGCGGGGCCCGGCTTACCTGACGATGGGAAGCTTGGTGAAGGGCACGGGCGGCAGGGTCAGGCCATCCGGGAGGGTGATGACTTCCATCGTCCCGGGGCACTTGGACGTATAGTTCTCCAGGCTCTGAGTCACGTCTTTCTTTTCTGATGGAAAAATAAAAACAAAACGACGGTTAATTAAACAAAAGTAAACGTGGGAGGTTTTATTTTATGCAGCCATAAATAAAATTCTTAAGCCAATGTCTAATGGTCCAGCGAGCCCAACCTTCTAGTGGAAATAAGGGGGCAGTGACCACAAGAGAAAAAAAGAAAGGAGACGTTATATTCAATTTATTTAAATAATCACTAGAAGCTGCTCCATTTAAGGACCTGTGGCTAAAAAGAAAACTAAGTTACTATCTTCGAGGAAATTTCATTTTCCAAGAGAACAAATTCTCACCAAATTCCAAGAAAGTCGGCAGGTAGGCAGGACCGCAGAATCAGTGTATTTTATTACTTAAGAAATATTTTTCTACCAAGCAAAATGCCAGGCCCCATCCCCAAGGAGTTCATAGTCCTTCTGCATAAAGATATTTAAAAGAATAATCACAAGTTCACACATTTTATGCCAAAATAGAGTTTTGTGAGGTAAGACGGTTTCTCTCCACTTGGTCCCCATCCCGTCCACTAGGAGGGAGGAAAAGAGGCTATAGGCGACAATAAATAATGTTTGCTTATACTTCCAACGCACTCCAAACATCTGCTCATGGACTCTGTACCTGTCACACTGTAGAGCTCAAAAGTGCTTTCCTGCTCTAAAACTCACAGTAACTCGGGCAGGCGGGCGTCACTGTGCCCATTCTGCAAATGACAAAGCCGAGGCCAAGTGAAGTTGAGCAATTTGTGAAAGATCATGCGCTTGGCCCTAAGCCTGCGGTCCTGTCACCATACTGTTTACAGGGACGAAGTTAAGGAACTGGGGGTGGGCGCGCGTGAGGGATTTAATCCTTCTGGCCTCCATTTCCACTGTCACTGCTGACAGAGGAAGATGTAAGACTGGGAGAGACGAGAGTGACAGAGGGACACAGCCATCGGGGAGGCCTGCGGCAATGAAGTCAGAGCCGCGTCTGAGTCAACGGCACGGCCTTTCCCGTCTGTGGTCTGACCACCTCGGGAAGCCAGTCAACCTCTCTGGACCTCACCTTCCCACCTAAAGAGCGGCCAGGAATGAAATGAGATCACGCGCTGGCAGCAGAAGCCGGGAGACACGGGCAGCGAGCACAGTGGAGTGATGATAACTGTCATCATTATCCCACATTCGCACACATTCGCACTGAAGGAGATGTGAGGATGGGTAAACGGCTACAGAGTGAGGCCGAGTGCTCCGCCAAGGCTGGTGACCATAAATGACAAATTCCCAGGCAAGGACTTCACAGACTGCAGGAACATATATTCATGGGTAAACTGCTGCCACAGGAATTTTCTATGTCTAGGCATCATTCTTTGGGGAGCGAGAGGGCAGAAAAGCAACCGGAATTAATTCTGAATACAACACAGTTATGTTAATCACAACATGAACAAAACTGTTTAAATAATCAAATCATCTTCAATTTATAGATGATAGCTCTCCCACGGGGCTCCGGCTGACAGCGCGTCAATGACCTCATTTGCCTAATGCTAGGTAGAGCACTCGGGGTCTAGGTATCTCGTTAGCGTGAATTATGCTCTTTCAGCCAACCCTGCTAAAATGAAGAAGGGGATGAATCTATTTGCGATGCCAAATGCCACTTGCAGAGCTCCCCAAGAAGGAAAGGCACGTGCAGCACATCGCTGGGCTGAGCCGTGGACGGCGCTCCTGTGGAGTGAATGCCACGCGCAGTGAGTGCCACTTGCTCGTTTCGAGGGCGGATGCCGGTATGAAAACCAGCACATCGCGATTTCGCAGTGTATCTATTCTTGTTTCTTCTAGGTAATAATCTGAGACAACCATGTTTGCGTTGGGTCGGTCATGATATCATAAACAGGTAGAGAACAGAAAGGCAAGAATATTTTCATCAGAATAACGTTACTGATCTTTCTGCATTATAATGCCGGGATCTCTCCGGGGGCTCCCAGCAAGGAGGCCCCCTCTCGTGCGCCTCGTTTCTCAATAAGTTGAAAACAAACCGAAAAGAAAAGATGGAGGCTAAAATATCACCTTTACCAACACGGACCACGCTGAAGGACATGACACGGTTTCTTAGGAGGCACCAATCCTCTCTGACACCAAGACTTGAGCAGACAGGCCCTCCCACCCAGACAGGCCCCGTGGATGGGGCAGGCCCCCGCCACACACCCGGGGGAGGCCGGGGAGCGCAGGGAGCACGTGGGAGAAACAGGGCCCACGGACAGCAGTCTGGGAAACAGGCTAAGGGCAGCCAGACGGGAAGAACTAGTAACTGAGTCTGAAGCGGAGCGATGCTAGTTCCGAGGCGCGGGGAGCCCACCACAGGGGCGAGGACCCAGGACGCGCCTCTCCTGAGCTCACGCTGCCCGCAAGCCAGGCGCAGACTCTCCGATTCTCTGCCCAGGCTTCAACCCAGAGCGACCTCCCTGGGCATTAACGTGCTCGCTCTACAGGGAGGGGACTTGAGGCTTGGAAAGGTCAAGTGATCTTTCCTGGGGTCACTCTGGTAATAGGTGGCTGAACCTGACGTATACTTGAACCTACGAGCTCATTCTTTCTGCTTTTTCCACTTTGTCACACAGCCCACCCAGACTGTCCCGACATGTAAGGATACGGAAGAAAACGGACAGCTTGAAACACGGTGTGCGGCCAGCGAAGCTTCTTACACAGCAAGAAAAATCAACTCAAGCTTTTTTTTGTTCACTCTGCAAACACAACCAGGCAGCACGATGGTCCGAAGACAAAGGTTGCAAAGTCACGTGCCACTGCTACAGACATTAACGAGCGCCAAACCAGCCGACGTCCACCGAGCCTGTCACGAAAACAAGCTCCTTCCTAAGAGAACGCAAACGAGGGACCATCACACTAACAGCCTCCCGTCAGCATTACTTTATGTTTGTTTCTCACTTGATTTACATAGTGACACCTCGGAGGCCCCGATAAACAATCGTTCAAGTACACCAGGAGAGTAAATGTTTTTCCTTGTTCTCTTCAAGTATATAAACATGTTCCACCAGAATGAAAGGCAATTATGTTAAGCCGTCAGCCTATTACATCATCATCGATTTAAAGCACTACCTAGAAAATATCCGAATATCTCTAGAGACCTCAATATAACACTCAGAAGGTGAAGTTATCTTCAGAATGAAGACTTAATATATAATTAGAAAGAATCTGCGCATCCAATTATGAAGAAATGGTTAGATGAGATATGGCACAGGAACGGAATACAAATTTATGCAACCATTAAAAACGACGTTTATAAAGATTCTGCGATAATGTGGGAAAAGCCTGTTATAAGGAAAATCAGGATGCAAAACTATTTTTATAAAATAAATTCAATTTAAAAATAAAACCATTTAAAAAAAATAAAAAACAATACAAAAGAAATATACCACAATGTCCACAGTATTTGCCCATGCAGGATCAGGCATAATTTCTTCCATTCTGTTTATGTTTTCCAAGACTTCTAAAAGGAATACACATTGGCAAAATAAAAATTATTTCGAAAATACTTAAGAATTGAATTTTCAAAGAAGTTTTATAAGGAAAAATCAGGGATCGTTTATAAATGTTCCATGTGAGTGAAAAACGTAGCATCCTAAAATGTCAGTGGAATAAGGAAATTTGGGGTTCCTCGTGACCGAAGCAGAAGCTCACCGTGGCGACATCGCAGTCTTCATACAGCTGTCTCTGGCAGTGCTTAGGACAACATCTACAGTGGCAGCTGATGTTTCATGAGGACCTACTATGCGCCAGGCTCTGGGGCAAGCACTGTACATGTGCTGTCTCATTAGATGGCCCCCGAAACCTTACGGGAGGTGCCACTGTTGTCTCTTCGTTGCAGGTGAGCAAACCGAAGCAGAGAAAGACCTCGCTCCCGGCTGGGTGTGCCGCTCTTTCTCTGCCAAGTGCTCACCTGCAGCGAAATGCTACGCGTGGCCACCACCCCTTCTTCTAAAACTATTTCGCATGTCATTCGACACCCCTTTCACAAAGAAACACGGAGCATCTGTCCTGTATGAGGAGGACCCTGCCTTGAGCACCTGACAGGACCCACACCTTCAAGGACCACATGCGCTCGTAGGTCCTCCATCTCCTCCTCCGCCTGGAAGGGTCTCGATTAAGACGGACTAAGGAGCAACTTGGGAATCAATTCAGTTCCGCGTGTACTGACCACCTTTCCGGTAAAAGCACTGTCCAAAACGACGAAGGACAAAAGGCAAACACAATATGGCCAAGGAGTCCGTGACCTCGTGAGGGCACCACGGAGGGAAGTCACTCCAGGACATAATGAAATGCTGGGCTGAGAGCTGAGTGAGGTAACGAGGTGAGGGTAGAGGGACGGGCACTTCCTTAACGACACGGGGACAGGGAAAGTGTGAGGACAGTGCATACTGCAGAGGGAGCAGCGGGAAAAACCACCTGACACGCCTGAAAAACGACACACAAGCCGACGACGAATGAAACGCACATCACACGGACGGCGGGACTACGAAGTCAACCTGAAACAATGATTAGAAGCAAATCGCGACTGTCCTGGAGACAGAGCTGAGACTGCAGGAGCGGAGGTGGTTCAGGGACAGAGGACGGGGTTTGGCGTGCGGGCCCAGGAGGGAATTCTGGCGTCATGTGACGAATGGATCAGAAGGGGCAAAGCCAGGAAACAGGAACTGATGGTTTAGAGTCTCCCGTACCAACCCGAGAAGTGGGTGTTCAAAGGGGCGACATGGAAGGAAGAGGAACCCCATATGAGAAGAACGCGAGCTTTAGAGCGAGTATAGGATATGTCCAAGCCATTAACAAGATAAAGAATAAGTAGGAAAATTTGGGGTTGACTCCAAAGTTTTCAACTTCCAAGAATAAGAAAACGGTGACACCCACAAAGAAAAGATAATCAACTTTTCTGAGAATAAAGTGACTTCAGAATCCGATGACCCCCCCAGGGAACACGTCGAGCCTTCATCTGGAAATTGAAGCTCAGGGTCAGGACTGGAAG